TTTACGACCTCTGTTGTTTCCTGACTGCCCCATGTGACTGTTTTTCTTTGACAATAAAGTGGGAGCTCACGTGAAAGCAGATCAGAACGCTCTATGAACAACTTGAAGAAAGTTGTTGGTGGAGACTTCTCCTTCTGCAGAAGCCTGACCATGTTTAATTCATATACGTTGTCTGTGGTTATTTTATTGTAGGTTCGAGGAAAATACCTAACACAAGCCAGTGATGCTGTTGGTGATTCAATGTGTTGGGTTCTGTTTTTGTTTCAGTTTTTTTTTATTTTTTGTGTTCCTCAGTTTTTCTCTTAGTTCTGCCTCGTTTCCATTTCCACTTCAGTTTTTCCTCATTGATTCTAGTTTATTTCTTGCTTCTATTTATTTTTGTCGCTCTAGTTTCTCTCCAGTCTAGTTATTGTGTTAGATTTACTTCCTGTTTCCCTGTATACGCTCCTTCTCCACTCACACCTACAACCTGTTAACTCATCAGCCCAGGTCTTTTGCTCAGCATTCAACCTCCCTAGTATTTAAGCTTCTCATTCTCAGTCACTCTTAGCCGGTTCCTCTTGTCAGTGGCCGTCATTTCTCTATGCTTCTCTATGTTCTCCTTTTGTCTACTCGTTGGATGTCTTTTGGATTTATTATCTGTGTTTTTCCTTGACTACAGTCATTTTTGATATCTTTTGTTTTTCATTAAATACTTTCAACATGATCCACATTCCTGTCTGCACTTTGGTCCATCCTGTAAAACTTTGCCTTCTTTTAAAGCTTTGTGCTCTATACCGATATGAAAAATTGATACAATGATATGTGTAAAAATTTTATTGCTGCTCAAATTCAAATTACTATTTCAAAGACTGTGAAATGACTGTTCCTTAATGGTAACTGTTAGTGTTTTTTAATCTATAATTGTCTTTGAAATTCCCCAAATATGAATGTTTTCTCTATTTCTACAGGATTGACACTCTGGGATTGTGATGACTTGGAAAAATACAAAAGAGAAACCCCACAACGAAACAGTGACTTTGAGATAGTTGCTTCTGAATCAATTGAGGACAAATCTTCAGTCCTGAATGTTGAAGCATCTTTAAAAGCAAGTTTTTTAGGTGGCCTAGTTAAAGTTGAAGGATCAGCCAAATACCTCAATGATCAGATGACGTCCAAAAATCAAGCCAGAGTAACACTGAAGTACAAAGCTACCACAAAGTTCCAAGAATTATCAATGAATCATCTTGGAAGAGGCAACATGAAGCATTCATATGTTTTTCAGAACAAAATAGCAACACATGTGGTCACAGGCATTCTGTATGGAGCTCAAGCATTTTTTGTCTTTGACCAAGAAAAATCTGAGACAGAAAATCACCAAGACATTCATGGCAGCTTGAAAGTTTGATTAAGAAGATTCCAACCCTATCTATTGAAGGTGAAGGTTCCTTACACATGGAAGATAAGGACAAGGAATTAATGCAGAAGTTCTCCTGTAAGTTTTATGGAGACTTCCTACTTGAGAAAACTCCAACAACCTTCCAGGATGCAGTAGCAGTTTACCAAAGCCTGCCCAAGCTGCTGGGGGCCAGGGAAAAATGCCGTACCAATCAAGGTCTGGATGCTGCCTCTGACTAACTTAGATTCTTCTGCAGCTAAACTTGTCCGTGAAATAAGTATTAAGTTAGTTCAAGAAGTACAAAGTGTCCTGGAGGAGCTCAGTGACCTGGAAATAGGTGCAATGATGCAATGAAAAACCCTACAACACAGCAGTTTCCACAGATTATCAAAAAACTTAAACGTTTTAAAAGTTTGTGCTCTGAGTTCAGGCTTGAATTTCAACAAACGATAGCAAAGAAACTCCCATCAATCCGAGGAGGAGGAGAAGAAGAGTCTGAGCTTGCAAATGTCTTGAAGGAGATTCATTCCTCACCTTTCAGCAGCAAAAACCTCAATGGCTGGATTGACTGCAAAGAGAGAGAAATACATAAACTGAAATCCTACACCAGGATGATGAAGAACACCAAAATCATCCCATCTCAAAATATCCTTGATGAAGAACTTCTCAATGCAGAGCATGCTGTGTGTTTTGTCTTCAGCTCACTGGAAAGAGATGAACCGTTCCTCTCTGCTTTGCAGAACTACCTCAAAAGCAAAACCAACTCGGATGATTCACACAGTTATGATATCGAGAAGGAACAATGGTATCTCTCAAACAACTTGGCAGATGAAATGAGAACAAAAGCAAAACTCTTCAAAGACTTTGCAGAGGCCAACACTGAGGCCAGGAGCTCAGCATTCCTGGCAGTAGGTCTAACAGATGAGAAACATGAAGGTTCAACCATCTACCTTTATAAAGACGCCTCCCTCATCAGTGAAAACTTTGAGCCTCCTTCTAAGCCTGAAACTGTGACAGCTGCTGACATAAACCACAGCAGTGTGACTCTGAAGGTTTCTCCTCCCAGCTTTGGAGCAGAGAGCGTCACATCCTACTCTGTTGAGTTCTGTGTCATTGGACAAGATGAATGGAAACAACAGACTGAACCAAAATCATCAGAAATCACAGTGACCCAACTGCAGCCAAACACAGAGTACGTGTTCAGATGCAGAGCAGTGACCTCAGCAGGTGTTGGACCGGCCAATGTCATCAATGATCCCATTAAGACTTTACCCTGCAGCCCTCCTGGAGAACCGCAAGGTGAACCAAACTCTTCTGAGATATCAGTGAGTTGGGAGAAACCTGCAGAGCTCGGACCAGATGTTCACATCCTGAGCTACATTGTGGAATATTCAAAGGTAGAAGATGATCACACCTGGAACCAAACAAGGTCAAAAGGTGAAACGGCCATCATTTCAGGACTTCAGTCAGAAACACAATATGCATTCAGGATCACATGTGACTGTGGTGGGGCTGGTAGGAGCAAGGAAAGCAAGATTGTTCATGTTCAAACAACAAAGCCAAACAGCACCAGACTTTCTGATGCTGTTAAAGCTAAGAGCAAAGAGCTGCAGCCACAGATTGGACCACTTCCTGTTTATAAAGTTCCTCTGATGGAGGAGAACATCAGAATAAATGGATGCAGGTTCTTCAGGTTTGGAGAACCTGCTGCTAAACAAAGTCACACCATCATGGTTCTTGGAGCTACAGGTGCTGGGAAGTCAACTCTCATCAATGGGATGATAAATTACATTCTAGGTGTTCAATGGTCAGACTCGTATCGGTTCATCTTAGTGGACGATGGTCAAACAAAATCCCAAGCTCACAGTCAGACCTCTGAGGTCACTGTGTACCAACTCAACCACAGAGAGGGATTTCAGGTTCCCTTCTCTCTGACCATCATAGACACTCCAGGCTTTGGAGACACCAGAGGAATAGAGAGAGACAGGGAGATCACAGAGCAGCTCTGTAACCTCTTCACTAGTAAAGACGGGGTCAGTGAGGTTGATGCTCTGTGTTTCGTAGCTCAGGCTGCTTTAGCTCGTCTCACACCAAAACAGAAATATATCTTTGATTCCATTCTCTCCATCTTTGGCAAAGATATAGCAGAAAACATCAGGATCCTGGTGACATTTGCAGATGGTCAGAAGCCTCCAGTTCTAGAAGCCATCAAAGCTTCAGGCATACCAAGTCCGAAAGGGAAAGATGGTCTTCCAGTTCACTTCAAATTTAACAACTCTGCTCTGTTTGCTGACAATATATCCTCTGCAGCAGAGACTCAGAGTGATGATGATGATGGAAACTTTGATCAGATGTTTTGGAACATGGGAACAAAAAGCATGAAAAGGTTTTTTGCTGCTCTAAATCAGATAGAAACCAAAAGTTTGACTCTGACCAATGAGGTCCTGAGAGAAAGAAAGCAGCTGGAGGTTTCAGTTGAGAATCTGCAGATTCAGGTTAAACTTGGTTTGGCCAAACTGGAGGAGATCAGAGAGACAAGAGAAAAAATCAAAGAGCATGAAGCTGAGATCAGTAGAAATGAGAAATTTAAGTTTGAGGTCACTGTGAAAAAACCGATACAAGTTGATATCTCAGGTTCTGGTTGCTACAGTATGAACTGTCAGCAGTGCCACTTCACCTGTCATTACCCTTGTCCAATACCAAATGATGCTGATAAAAGAAAAAGTTGGGCGATGGACAGAAATGGATACTGCACTGTATGTCCAGGGAAATGTTTCTGGAACATTCATTTCAACCAAAAGTACAGGTGGGATTATAAAGATGTTACAGAGAAACGGACAGCTGTAGACCTGAAAGAAAATTATGAAGAGGCCACAGGGCAAAAGATGATTGTTGAGGGACTGATGAGAAAACTACAGGCTGAATATGATATCATGCAGAAAGAGGTGAATAAATTAATAGACATGTCAGCAAAGTGTCTGAACAGACTGAAGGAGATAGCACTGAAGCCCAATCCTCTCACCACTTCAGAGTACATTGATCTGCTGATTGAAGAAGAGAAACAGGAGGCAAAACCAGGCTGGAAACAACGGATTCAGTCACTGATGGAGATGAAACAAAAAGCAGAAGTCATGGCTAAAGTGGAGAAAGGAGAAAAACCTTTTCTCCAATAAGAGTCACTTGATCAGAGGTCTTAAATCTGCAGATTGTCCCAAAGTCATTTAGATTTTAGTTCTTACAATTCTCTTTGCTTTTATTTAAAGCTCTTTGCTTTGTTTGAAACAGGAAATATAAATCCTTCATAAATGATTTTATCAGAATCAATGTATTTGGGAAGCTAGTCTGACTCTTATTACTCTGATACATCAGAAAAACATTAAAAATATTTTCTGTTTCCTGGTTTATGTGTAATATAAGAATCATAATTAAATTCATTTCTGCTCCTAATGGGAGTCTGACTGCATCTCAGCCTAATCCATGACAGATCAATACTTTATGATCTAAAAAGCTGCAACCATAGAAAAGATATATAATAAAACTACATGACATGTATTGAATGGACAGAATGTCAATGAAAACATGAAACTACATCTGAAATTAAACTGAATTCATAAAGAAAACATGAGATTTCATCTTCAATGGATTTTATTTTTCTATTGTTTCCCAAACCTTTTCATTTTTCTCCCAGGTTTCTGCAGCAGGTTGGGTTTGTGTCAGTGAAACATAATGCAGACAAACATCACAGATACATAAACCTAACAGTAAATATTTACAGTGTAACATTAATGGATCCACAGAGGAAACTTTGACCTGAACTTCAGAGCAATCCGTTTCTTCTGCTTTATGTTAACAACATAACAAAAATTAAAACTTGGAGGAAAAACCTGCTTTCTATGAGCTGCCATCTTTAATCTGTTACCATCGAAACCATAAAGCTTTTCTGACCTGCAGTCAGCAGAACAACATTTCTACAACGATTCTCTAAACACAGCGATGAAGGTAACATCAGTTTGTACATTTTATAACAAATAAAATAAATAAAGACGTTTTTCTTGAAGCAGAAAAATCATCCAATGAGAGCAGAGCAAACATGAAGCCTCTTTTAGCTGCTGGTCATAATAAAGTAGTTTGATGCTGATTGGATGAAAAAGTTTGGCTGTTTGGGAAAACGGAGAAATCTCTGGAGTGGTGATGGATTCATAACCAACATCCATATTCATTTATAAACAACCAAATATGAAACAGAAACAAACTGGATTCAAACTTTCACCTACAAATTCAACCAACAGGAACCAGAACCAAAACCTGAAGATTTTAACCAAATCAGCAACTTTCCTTCAAAATAAAAGCATTTTAACAGCTTTGGTTCAGGACTTTTCCTGTAACTGGATCCGTTTTCTCTCCGGTTCCGTCCAGAAGTTTCAGGACTTATTTTAATAAAACGGAGCTTTAAAAGCAGCCGAATCATTTAGAGGACCAACATGCTGAGTCTAAAAGCTCCTTCAGTTCCTGAACGCACCGCCTGTTGGTGCTTCTATCAATCATTTCATTTCAGGGATTATTTCCTGTTTAACATTTCAGAGCTGAAGTTTCTAAAGCTGTTTGGGAAAAATGTCATTTTAACGAGAAACAAATTCAACATGAACACAAAACTCCACAAATATCAGTGGAAAAAACAAGAATTCATTTAAAAAAAGAAACCTAAAAGTAACTCATGACCCGTCTTCTGCTTCCTGTCAGGTTTATACAGAATCAGGTTTAACAGGAACTGTGGTTTGGACGGTTGTACCTTTATAACACTGATCAGGTTTCACTGAGAAAAACCTAAAAATGATTTAAAAACTAAACTAATTGACCCAAAAGATGAAGTTCAGACAGAAACTTAATGTGTTCATAGTGAAAGAAACTCAGAAGAAACTCCAGACGGTTTCCACCTGTGAACCCGGCTGAGCGACTCCAGGCCTGGATTCCTCCAGGCTCCCTCCAGGATTCCTCCAGGATTCCTCCAGGCTCCCTCCAGGCTTCCTGCCGTAAACTGAAGCAGGATGCAGCGCAGCGGGGTCAGAACCCCAGGTCCAGCTGGATTTTGTGCTCAAACAGTGCGATGAGCAGCATGATGCAGAAGCCCAGCAGGATGCCGGCGTTCTGCAGCAGGAAGAAGCCCCAGTGGCTGAAGCCGTGGTCGCCGGCGTCGTTGTGCAGCATCTCCGGCACCTGAAGCAGAGAAGCAGCAATAAATCAGCCTGGAGGGAAGAAAACAGGCTGACGGTGCAGAGAGGAAGAAGAAAACCTTTAAATTAAAACATTTAACTTTTAGTTGATTTTCCACTGATAGATTTTCTACTGACTGAACAAACTAAAGTTGTTTCTACATGTTTGACTCAGAATTATTAAATAAATGAGTAATACAGTAAATTTATGTCTGTGTTTAATAAAAAAACATTTTAAATCAATTCAGATGTTTTTCAGTATCGGATCGGCCGATACTGAACCTCAGATATCGGATCGTATCGGGAGTGAAAACATGCATCTCTAGTTTCCACACAACAATTCAGAACTTTAAGGTCCGATATCAAAATGTTCAGTTGAGATAAAAACAATATATAAAAACTAAGAACAGCAACTTTAATTCATATTTATTACTGTAAAATTTTAAACCCAAATTCAATAATATGTGTATTGATTAAAATATAAGATGATCAGTGAGTCATTGATCTATTAGTGATAACAGATATCATGTTGAAACAATTCAAATAAATTTAGAAAAATTATCTTTCTGCTCAAATTAAAATAATTTTAAAAAAATCTAAAAACAGAAATAACTTGGATGATTTTAACTGATCTAAAATAAGAAAGTCTGATAAAAAAAATATGACATTCTATTTTTATTAAATGTATGAAAATATCTTCCAAATTTAGGCTTTTAATCAAAGTTAGTTTGAACTTTATGACCAAACTGTGCAGCTGATGAAGACATGAGACGCTCCCGTCCTCCAGAGACGGTTCGGTCCTGCGGAGACACTTCTGGACTGGAGACGGTTCGGTCCAACTCACCATGTCCACCAGCGCCACGTACATGAAGAGGCCGGCCGTCAGGGCAAAGATCCAGGTGGAAATGTTTTCAGCGTAGTGGCCAATCAGGATCCCCGTCACCAAGCCGAGGTACGCCGTCATGGCCGACAGAACGTTGTAGAGGATGGCCTGGCGAACCGTCATGCCCGCCTTCAGCAGCACCGCAAAGTCACCTGGAGAGAGAGAGAGAGAGAGAGAGAGAGGGCGAGAGAGAGATGGAGAGAGAGAGATGGAGAGAGAGGGCAAGAGAGAGAGAGAGAGAGAGAGATGGAGAGAGAGAGAGGGGGAGAGAGAGGGAGAGATGGAGAGAGAGACAGAGACAGAGAGAGAGAGGGCGAGAGATGGACAGAGAGAGAGAGAGGGCGAGAAAGACAGAGAGAGGGAGAGAGATGGAGAGAGAGGGCGAGAAAGACAAAGAGAGAGAGACCAGCATCAGAAACTGATCGACTATTTACTATGAAGAAAAACCTTTACCTGGTGAACTAAAACGTTTTGTTATAATATTTTATGAAAACAATGAAACTGACACTAAGAATCATTTCTGTCTTTTTTACATAACTGCATAACTTTCAGCCCCACAAACAGAAATGTTGCTGTTTGAAAATATTTGCGTTTTAAAACGTTTCTTTCTGACTCCAGTCACATAAAGGCGTCTGATTTTTTCTCCAGTCTGCTCACAGTGACTGTATTTATTGGTGATATTGATGCGATCACTGATCAATAAGTCGATCTCGTGGCGTTGGCGCTCTCACCCAGCTCGTGTGGAAGCTCGTGGCAGAAAACGGCCACCGATGTGCTCAGCCCGCTGGACAGACTCTCGCTGAAGGCGGCTCCTGCAGACACACAGACACTCGTCAGGCTGCGGCGCCTGTGGCTTCCCAGGGCCAGGCTCCCCAGGGGGGTCAGGCTCTCTGGGGGGACGAGGCTCTCTGGGGGGGCCGGGTTCCCCAGGGGGGCCAGGCTCCCCAGGGCGAGGCTCCCCAGGGGGGTCAGGCTCTCTGGGGGGTCCAGGTTCCCCAGGGAGGCTTCCCGTGGCGCCGGCGGCTCACCAATGGCGAGGCCGTCGCTGAAGTTGTGCAGGCCGTCGCCCATGATGACCATCCAGGCCAGCGTGGCGACGCCGGCCTGCTGGAAGTGCTCCTCGGAGTAGGAGTGGGCGTGGCTGTGGGCGTGGCTGTGGGGGTGGTGGTTCTGGGAGTGGTGGTGGTGCAGGATGTGGTGGTAGTCATGGTGATGGTGGTGCAGGCTGTCCGCCTGCCCCACCGTGTCGTGGAAGTGGGAGTGGCATTTGTTCTCGCAGTCCTCGGCCGAGTACCCGGCGCCGTCGGGCCGGCCGTACGTCTGCTGCGGCGCCACGGAAACCTGCGGCGCCAGCATCACCTGCTCCTCCTCCGACACGCCGCCGGGAAGCTCGCCGAACGCTCCGGCGCCGTTCGGCTCCACGTCTGATGGAGGGAGAGCAGACAGGAAGCGTCTGAGAGGAGAGCTCTGTGTCGGACCAGGACCGGACCAGAACCGGACCAGGACCAGACCAGAACCAGAGCCGGACCAGACCAGAACCAGACCAGAACCAGACCAGAACCAGACCAGAACCAGAGCCGGACCAGAGCCGGACCAGAACCAGACCAGAACCAGAACCAGACCAGAACCAGAGCCGGACCAGACCAGAACCGGACCAGGACCAGACCAGAACCAGACCAGAACCAGAACCGGACCAGAACCAGACCAGAACCAGACCAGAACCGGACCAGAACCAGACCAGAACAAGAGCCGGACCAGACCAGAACCAGGCCAGAACCAGAACCGGATCAGAACCAGAACCGGACCAGAACCAGAACCAGACCAGAACTGGACCAAAACCAGACCAGAACCAGAACCGGACCAGAACTGGACCAGAACCAGAGCCGGACCAGACCAGAACCGGACCAGAACCAGAACCGGACCAGACCAGAACCGGACCAGAACCAGAACCAGAACCGGACCAGAGCCGGACCAGAACCAGACCAGAACCGGACCAGAACCAGACCAGAACCAGACCAGAACCAGAACCGGACCAGACCAGAACCGGACCAGAACCAGACCAGAACCGGACCAGAACCAGACCAGAACCAGACCAGAACCGGACCAGAACCAGACCAGAACCAGACCAGAACCGGACCAGAACCAGACCAGAACAAGAGCCGGACCAGACCAGAACCAGGCCAGAACCAGAACCGGATCAGAACCAGAACCGGACCAGAACCAGAACCGGACCAGAACTGGACCAGAACCAGAGCCGGACCAGACCAGAACCGGACCAGAACCAGAACCAGAACCGGACCAGAGCCGGACCAGAACCAGACCAGAACCGGACCAGAACCAGACCAGAACCAGACCAGAACCAGAACCGGACCAGACCAGAACCGGACCAGAACCAGACCAGAACCAGACCAGAACCAGAACCGGACCAGAACCAGACCAGAACCAGAGCCGGACCAGACCAGAACCGGACCAGAACCAGACCAGAACCAGACCAGAACCGGATTAGAACCAGACCAGAACCAGAACCAGAACCAGACCAGAACCAGAACCGGACCAGAACCAGACCAGAACCAGAGCCGGACCAGACCAGAACCGGACCAGAACCAGACCAGAACCAGACCAGAACCGGATCAGAACCAGACCAGAACCAGAACCAGAACCAGACCAGAACCAGAGCCGGACCAGACCAGAACCGGACCAGAACCAGAACCGGACCAGAACCAGAACCGGACCAGAACCGGACCAGAACCAGAACCGGACCAGAACCGGACCAGAACCAGAACCGGACCAGAGCCGGACCAGAACCAGAGCCAGACCAGAACCAGAACCAGACCAGAACCAGACCAGAACCGGACCAGAACCAGACCAGAACCAGAACCGGACCAGAGCCGGACCAGAACCAGAGCCAGACCAGAACCGGACCAGACCAGAACCGGACCAGAACCAGAGCCGGACCAGACCAGAACCAGACCAGAACCAGAACCGGACCAGAACCAGAACCAGACCAGAACTGGACCAAAACCAGACCAGAACCAGAACCGGACCAGAACTGGACCAGAACTGGACCAGAACCAGAGCCGGACCAGACCAGAACCGGACCAGAACCAGACCAGAACCGGACCAGAACCAGAACCAGAGCCAGACCAGAACGTACTCGCACCTTCGCTTGGCTTCAGCCCACTCTCCTCCAGAGCCGGCTGCTTCTCCGGGTCCGATTTGTCCGTCTGGTCCCACTTCTTCTGGACCTGACAGGAGAACAAACATGAACATCACAACCAGCAGAACCAACAGAACCAACAGAATCAACAGAACCAGAACCTCCATAAACACTGAGGCTGCAGACTGCTGGTCAGTGTTTATATGACAGGACATGAAAAACTGTCAAATTACAACAACAGAGTCAAAATATTACTATAAAGTCGCAATAATGAGAATATTGATAAAATTACAAGATAAAATCCTAATAATGAGGAAAAAACATAAAAGTTGAATAATAAAGTCTGAATATGACAAGAATAAAATCATTTTGTTTTCTGCTGGATTATGACTTGTTTAGTTTTAATATTTATTTTATAAGGACTGTATATAAATCTAAATTCACTGAAAACAGTTTTGTTGAAAAAGCTGCATGTGGCGCCACCTGCTGGTTGAACCAAACCTCTCGTTTAAAGGCTTCCTGAACTATTTCCTGCTGCATTAATGATCAGATATTGTTGCCACAGAGGCGGAGGTAATGCTGTCATCAGGCTGTGCTGCTGCTTCTGCTGGTTCTTTCAAAATAAAATCAGAATCAACGTGACCAGAAAACATCAAAGTTTCGCCTCCGACCTTCTGCTTCTTGTCTTTGTACATTTTTCCCAGAGTCAGGAAGTGTTCGATCAGGAACATGAAGTAGACTCCGCCCAGAGCCGTCAGGCCTTTCCACACGCCGTCCATGTTCTCCTCGGCGTCGCCGTGAGGGTGAAGGTCGTTGGGGTCGCCCAGGTGATGGTAGTGGTCGTCATGGTGATGGTAGTGGTCGTCATGGTGATGGTAGTGGTCGTCATGGTGATGGTAGTGGTCGTGGTTCCCATGAGACTGAAGAGAAAAAACAAAACGCCTGAGCGACGCTGCAGCTGCTCTGAGAGGAGATGCTGCAGCTGCTCTGAGAGGAGATGCTGCAGCTGCTCTGAGAGGAGATGCTGCAGCTGCTCTGAGAGGAGATGCTGCAGCTGCTCTGAGAGGAGATGCTGCAGCTGCTCTGACACCTGCAGCATCTCCTCTCAGAGCAGCAGAGGTGATTTAGTGGAAGAAAAAACTACAGCTGATGGGGTCAGATGGTTAAAGATGCAGGTCTGATTTACAGTTGAGATCCAAAGATCAAAAAATGGAAAAGTAATTATTTTCTGTTTCTTAATCATCCACAACGAAACCCAAAAATTTCTCCATTTTTACATTTGAAATTTTAGTCAAAAATCCAAAATGGAAAAATAATCTGCAGGCTGAATTTTATTTTGAGAAATTGCTGCGTGTGCAAAAGTGTGAAGAAAACAAAACATTTTAATTGGTTTGATTTTTGGAAAAAGTGAAAGATACAGATTTAAATCCAGACCATCGTCTTTAGATTCAGGATTTATTCCCATTTTTTGTCCGTTTTGTTTTCAGCATTTTACATAATAAAATATTTTTGGCTTTTAAATGTCTTGAGTTTTAGCCTTAAACTTCAAAGCCGAGACAATTTAAGACAATATAATTATATCAGAAAGAGTTTGACTGTTTTTCCAGCAGCTTCTTTATTTCTTTATGTATAAAAATATAAGTGTCTTTTATTTCATAATTATACATTTAAATTCAGAAGGAAGAGGAAGAGGGAGCTAATAACTCATCCCTGTGGAACACTAGAAGCTAAGCTAGGCTAAGCTAAGCTAGGCTAAGCTAAGCTAGGCTAAGGTAAGCTAAGCTAGGCTAAGCTAAGCTGCTGGTGGAGTTTCTGCTGATGTAAATAAATTCGCTCTGACTCACGTGGGGAATGAGGTGCAGGAAGGCGTCGCCGCTCAGCGTTCCCACGGCCAGCGCCACCAGGAAGCTGAGCAGGAACTTGAAGAAGACTCTGTTCATGAGCGGGATGAGCAGGACGCCCAGCAGCGACAGCATGCTGATGACGGTGATGGAGACGAAGCCGCCGACCCAGGCTGCAACAAACCAGAGCGTCCCAGAGCCGTCAGAGGCAGAACTTCAGTCACCGCTCAGCGTTTCTCTGACCACGTTGTGTTTTAACCCGACTGACCGTTGGCTTCATGGGCTGGAAGAGCAGCTCAGCTTTTATTTAAAGGTGAAAAACAACCAAATCTTTAATGTTCTGATAGAGGAGAATCTAGAACGATTTAAAACTTGAGGAATATATTTATTTTATGACGTTTTCTCCTCGTTTTGTGTGAATCTGTTTGGAGAAGGTCAGCAGGAAACTGGTTTCACCGTTAAACCCATCCACTGACCTTTGATCCCAGCCTGAAGTCATCTCACCTGTTGTGATGTGTTTGCCGTTTTCGCCGCCGTTGGGCTCGCTGTGGTTTCCATGGTGACCGTGTGAATGTTTATGGTGTTTATGTCCTAAAAAAAAAAAACAGAAATTTCCTCACTTTTTGTTTTTCATGTTTTATTTATGTTTTATTTTTCAGAGTTTATTTTTTAGATTAGTTTTATAAATGATCATCACATCTTATTTCACAGATTACGGTCCAGTTTTGGAGGCGGAGCTTCTTCTGAAGGATAAGACGCATCATCATGCAGGTCGCCGTTAGCAACAGCGTTTCTATTGGTCAGTGTGGAGCAGGTACAAGCGATACTCTATAAACGACTCAAAAAATACTGCTTGATTCAGAAGGTTTTCAGTTTGAAACTGAATTCATTTCAAACGTCAATTTCTGAAGAGTTCTTTGTTTGGATAAAAACTAGAATCTAAAAAAGCAACAAATCAAACTGGTTTGGTCAAATTATTATTTTCATAAACAGAAGCAGAAACTGCTGATGATGCAATTAGGTGCCAACATGACAAAGTTTCAGATTAGAGCCTGTCAATCCAGATTAGAGCCTGTCAATCCAGATTAGAGCGTGTTAATCCAGATTAGAACCTGTTAATCCAGATTAGAGCCTGTTAATCTAGATTAGAGCCTGTTAATCCAGATAAGTGCCTGTCAATCCAGATTAGAGCCCGTTAATCCAGATTAGAGCCTGTTAATTCAGATTGGAACCTGTTAATCCAGATTAGAACCTGTTAATCCAGATTAGAGCCCATTAATCCAGATTAGAACCTGTTAATCCAGATTAGAGCCTGTTAATCCAGATTGGAGCCTGGTAATCCAGATGTTTTCTCTGATAAAAGCTCCAGTCTGACTCTCCTACCTGCGTCTTCGTGTCGGGAGGCGTCGCCGTGCAGGAGACACGCCCCGCTGTCGATCTGGTGGAGGAGGGCGGGGCACAGGAAGGCAAAGTCTCCCAGGGCGACGCCTCCTTCCTGGGACATCCCGTGTGAGAAGAGGAGGCCCGAGGCGTTCAGGCACTGCAGGAGATACCAACACTCAGTCAGTCGTTATTTACATCACAGCTGCATCTGAAGCCATTCATTTCTGCTTCAAACGATCTGATTGGACGCTGGAAAACTCGTGTTGTGTTAGTTATGCTAATAGGAGTTAGCGAAACGCTATGCTAGTCTAAAATGGCATCTTAATGTGAAACATGTAGCGGCTATCGCTAACATCAGCGTGAACATTTGTAAAGAAGCTCCATGAACGATCATGAGTTCCTGAAAGATGAACTTTGCTGGTAAAGAATCTGAAAACCAGATTAAAATAATAAATATTTCTGCTTTTGAGCTCAGATGTGTTTACTGAGAAACCGGTGGAGGAGCAGCTGGGCTGTAGATCTATAGATCTATGCTACAGAGAACCTCTTCCTGTGTCTGTCGAACCTCTTCATTCTCCAGGCTGCGGTTCTGCAGATGATCCTGGTCCGCTGGCTCGGTTTTAACGACCGTGGTCCCTCCTTCTCCAGCCAAGCTTCTCTTTTGGGTTTTCACCAACAATCCGGCGCCGTCTGCGGTTCTGCCGTCTGCGGTTCTGCCGTCTGCGGTTCTGCCGTCTGCGGTTCTGCCGTCTGCGGTTCTGCCGTCTGCGGTTCTGCCGTCTGCGGTTCTGCCGTCGCGACCCGCAGACACAGTGGGCTGGTTTTGCTGCAGGTCCTCGGTTCTGTTGTGGTCGGCAGCCGGGTGCCGACCCGGATGGTGATGGTGATGATGCGTTTGGTGCTGATGGTGGTGGCCGGGTTCTTCCCGGTGCTTCACCATGACGTTCCGGATCCGGTCAAGGCCGACGCTCTGCAGCAGACGCTTCAGGCCGTCCAGAGAGATGGAGCCGTTCTCTCCGTATCTGAGACCAAAAACACGGAGGATCAAACTCAGATCAATACAGTAATAATTAATATTCACGATCACTTATAACCACTATAAATACGTCAAATAGTCACAATAAGCAATAAATCAATAAATCACATATTAAATTAGAACAATATCAATTCTGTCCATTTGCATTATTTGTCTTTTTTTTTTACCAAAGCTGGAGGATGAAAGTTTCTCTCTGGTGTTTTGATCTCAACTAAATCGTCTTGAAGGACAAATTTGTTTGTAGATTCTTCATTTATTCACAAAATGAAATTAATCAATAATGCAAAATCAGTATTTCTTAATTTTTTTTACCTGCTAACAAAATTTTAATATTATTAAAGATCAAAAAATAAAAGAATTTAATTCACATTGTAAGCATCTTTTACATCCAGTTATTGATCAGTCATTTATTAATGAGTTCATCGATAAATAATCAGTGGATCAGATCTAAACTGTATGGATGTTTAAAAGCCTGAACTCTCATATTGATGCTAAAATAATATTTGATCAAACATGATCAAATATTAAGCTGATATTTAATTTTAGGCAATAAAATGTTTATTTTCCTTTAAAATAGGGAATTAAATCAGGAATTTACATTTTTACATGATCCTAAAACTGGAAAATATGCAGAAAGTACCTTCTGTCTAATCTGATTAATCGTCAAAATCATTGATTACTAAAATAATTGTTGGAACCCTAATAGTCAAAGAAAGTTGAGTGGAAGAAAAAAGTGTGTCAGGAAAATCTTCAGCAGTTTAGTTGTGGCTGCATGTTCTGAACTGTAAATGTTCAGAGAAACGCTCCAGCACATCGTACCATGAACTCATTTCCTCTCGTAGTTAATAAAGCGTGTTTTTACCGGGTTTCCCAGGCTAGCAGCCCGGACCGGACTCCCCGCCCTGGATGCTTCGTTTCTTCCTCACTCAAAGCAACAGCAGCAGCTCACCTATGGAACAGCGCCTCCAGGTGTTGCCTTCGGGCCCGCTCGGCCCTCTGAGCGTCCACCACGGCGGTCAGGAGCCGGGCGCCGCCGGAGGCCTCGGTGGGGGACGGCGAGCAGTCGGCCGCCGCCCAGACGCAGCTGGCAGCAAAGCAGAGCGTCGCAGCCAAGATGGCTGCAGCCATCTGGTCATTCAGCATCTCTGCTGGGACAAAAACGTCTCGTCTGGATCACTGGAGGACAGAAAAACTGGAAGATTCAGAGATTCTGATGCTGAGCAGAATGACTCAAAGATAAAGAAAGATTTTTTTTTAAAATGCATCATTTTAAACCAGTCAGACCTTTACTGAGTGATGCTGGTTAGTTTAAACATTCCCTAAAGATGAATCAGCCTCTTGGTTTCACACTTCAGAGCAAAAATCCCCAGAATTAAATCATCTTCTAACCTTTAAAAGCAGCTTCAGAGGAAGGAAGTGAAACAGGCCAAAGAGGAACTCTGCGTTTCTTAAGATTCCACATTTTTAACATTTAATCAGCCTAATATTCACCAAGGCCCAACAAAAGGTTCAGCTCGTGGATTTTATTTTTTAAATTATTATTTTCTCAGATGAATCTATTTGTGTCTTTAATAAAGTTATAATAAGCTCCAGTAGCCTGTGGAAAACTGAAGGAGTGATCAGTGTTACACAATGGGAGCCACATGTCAGGAATTTAAGGATCAGATTAGCCTAAAAACATTTATTCTGAAAATCCTGTTAAGCTCTGGAGTTGACAGATAGATACAAGGAAAAGATGAGGATCGGCAAAAATAATGTTTAGGGTTTTCTAAAAGATGAGCCGAATTAAAAAGAAGCTTTTAATAAATACTGGGGCAAAAAATTACATCCCTCATCTTCTGTGTGGCAAAGAAATATTAAAATGTTTGTTTTTCTGAACGGAGTTTGGCAAAGAATAAAAGGAAAACCCGAGTCATACCGGATTATTCCGGATTATATTAGTCATACCGCAGATCGAAACTAGTCTTACTATAGCTAATCATTAGAGGTAGTTAGAGTTAAATAATGCGGCCACTTGTTGAAATAAACTGTGTTTTTACCGGGTTTCCCAGGCTAGCAGCCCCGACCGGACTCCCCGCCCTGGATGCTGACAGGCGGGATGTTCCCGGAGCTGCGGCCCGGAATCAGGCCTGGTTCCGGGCCGAGTCTGGACCGCAGCCCGCCGGTCAAATTTAACCAGAAACCGTTTTAAACACCGTGTTGAGCGGCCACGCGAGTCAGTGTCCCGCTGCGGACCCGCTCACACAGCGGAGGTAAACAGAAACACGTTGGTTTGTGCGCTCCGCACCAGACCGGTGCCGTGTGCACAAAGGCGGTAAAACCCGGAAACTGCGCCGCGCCGTGCCGTGCGGAGAGACCGCGGCGGGGCAGCAGCGGCTCCGGGCGGCTCCAAAACACAACCCAACCAACATTTAAACGTCTCGGACGACTCACCGCGGGGAACCGGGTCCTTTTTAGCAGCTCCTCGGTGCGGTTCGGCGTCTCCGGTCCGTCCGCTTCAGTCTACAATGAATGAGGTTGGTGGCGCCTTCGCGGACTGTAGGAAATGTGAGCTCGACCCACATCAGGAAGCTGCAGAGCTCCTTATCTTCATCCACTAATAGGAAGGTCGTTCGCTCATGACTCTGCACCTGTTCTATAAACCTAGACGAAAAACTAGATTTTAAAAATTAATCAGCTGTAAAATGTGCAACTTTAATGCATTTTAACATTAAGCAAAATAGTTGCAATTATCTTTATTTTAAAACGTGACAACAGAATTGATTTATAATCCAGGGGCAACATTTTGTTTCACTTGTCTGGAATTATGATCATGTAGGGCTTTATTCATTCAGTTATTTATATTTCAGACCTTTAATGATATCTGCTTTGTAATGTTTTTGCATTACAAAGCAGATATTTGTCCATATGCTACAAGAAATGAAGAAGAATGAAATGAAATTTTTAAAAAATCCTGCAGGTGCATTTAAAGCTTTAAATGTGGTTGAAAAGTGAAAGGTGAAGCTATTTCCATATATTAATGTCTGAATGGGAGGGAAAACAACAACGTCCGTCTTTCATGATGAAATGAGGAAAATTAAAAATTCAGCTTGTTTTTTCCTGAACTGAACAAAGATGAGGACTGTGCACCTGAAATCAACATGACATTAAAAATCCAAAACAAATGACCCAAAGTTCTATGAAAATAAGAAAATTAATATTAAAATCTGTTTGTATCGTTTTGATGAATAACTGAAAGGAAACCAGAGTTAACACTGAGCTCCTGTTAGTCCTGATTAACATGACCTCTGACCTTCTGTCTCCAACGATGGACGTCCAGAGTCATGTTATGGACATACTGGATTATTTATATTCCTGTTGCGTTGTTGAAACAACTCCTTTGTTACACATCCTGCATCTGTTTATGATTATCTTTGTCCCCTGCAGGAGGACGAAGCGTTTTGCGTCTAAAATTGTTACTTTTCTGCAGCACAAACAGATATTTATTGTACAAAGTCTCCATTCTAATTTGAATGTCTTTGATTTATGAAGAGATTATTAAATGGAGCAGCAGAAACCTGCAGATGTTCAGAGGTGATTTTCTGTCAGTTTTGTCTCTTTTTCCAGAAAACGTTCCTGATTTTCCATTTTCTGCAGCTGAATGTCTCAAACAAGAAGTTTTTAAAATGTTTGAATTACATTAAATAAGTCTTCAGAATAATGATTTTCTCTTGGTCTTAAATTAAATAAAACATTCTTCTGAAACTTTTTAATCTCAGTGTTTCTAAACTGCACCTGAACGCCTCATGGAGGACATGGAGCAGGACAGGTTGGACTCCATGTGACGGACCGGAACCGACCCGAAGGAGGCGAGGCTCAGTCCGCTTCATTCCGCTTCAACACGGATTCACCAAGAATCTGGAGCAGAAAAGAAGCAGATCGTTGTTTTAATCTGAACATGAATGAAGCCGAGGCAGAAAAATATGAATGAAAGAAAGAACAGTGTTCTGATTTTTACAGAAAAACTATTTACAATGTTTTATTTGTAGATGTGAACTGTTTATATCCCTAAAACATTTTCCATCTGCAGCACCAGAGACACATCTGTCCACAAACCCAGAGAGAGAGAGAGAACAGGAAAAACATGGAAAATGTTTCATTAAGTGAAATAATTTGCCAATGAAACTGGGACATTTATTAATCAATATTAAGGATTTTTGTACTGAAAAAAAGTTCATATTTCTTGTTGAAAAGCTGCATGTAAGTTGGTTTAGTCTTATTTATAGTAAAATATCTGCAGTAGATCTTTGCATCTCTTTGAGATGCTCGTTCATGTTTTTATCACTTTTCAGAATCCAGTTTTAAATTCTCAGCTTTTAACAAACCTTTTAGTTTCTGTTATTGTTCTTATTTTTATTTCTTTGGCTAATTTTAAAGTGTTTTCCAAATAAAGATGAAATGAAACCAAATCACCATCTGAGAAGTTTAGATTAACTTCATCTATTCCCTCAGTTTCTCTACAGGTCTTCTGACTTTAACTAGGACATTTTAAGGTTTTCTTTCAGCAAAGTTTAAAATCTCAACAAATGCATTAAAATTTGTGTTTGTATAATGAAAACATGCTAAACAAATAGTGTATAAATGCTTTTTTCTGTGCTTATTGTGTCATTCAGCTGATTTAATTGATGATTCTTGTTCTGCTCCACATTTTATTCCTATTTTTACATTTTCTAAAGCCTTCATGATTCTGTGCTGCCATTTTGAACCATTTCTTAATATTTTATTATCTTCTCTGCTGTTTAATGAAAGAAACCTTCATGTTTCTCTTCTGATCTGAGCAGAAGCTTTTCTTGTCACATGATCACATTTTTCTGGAAAACGATCAGAACGGATAGAACATATTTTCCTGCATGTTTTGTTATGTAAACATGAGCCTGTGAAGCTGCAGCTCTCTGCTTTCAGTGGAAAATCTCCCTGTTTTCCTCAGAGGTAACATGGATCAGATGGTGAGAGTCTCACACTCGGTTAAGATAACAGCTTTCAGGGCTGATCCCAGATGGATCCCAGCACCCAGAGCCTTAAACAAACCCACCCAGAACAAAAAACACAGGAGGCCCTGCGCCTCCGCCTGACTGCTCCGGCTTCACAGCCGCAGACTAAAACTCGACCGCCGCTCATGTGGAAGCAGACGACCTGAGGCGAACTCTTCACAATCTGAATGTGCAACAGTCAAACATCCAGCTGGGACATTTACCATCCATCAGCTTTTTGTTTTCTACGGTTCTCCCAATTGGATGAAAATCCAAATGTAACACAGTTGAGAAGGGTACAATATGTTTTAGGTAGATGGGCCAATAGGTTTGGCTGTCGGAGCACGATGGGTGTTTAAATAACACACATACACAGTTGAGTGAATTTAAAAAACAATTAGCTTTAGTAACGTGAATCATAAACTCACAAGTTGACAAGACATACAATTAAGAAAATAAAACTACACACAATAAATACATAAAAGAAAAACAACAATACTTGGCCAAGTGCTAAATATCAAATTTAAATCTATTGGGTGCACCCTGGTAGTTTGCACTCTAATCTCTTTTAGATGACAAATGAATCAAATTAAATCCTGGTTCTGGTCTCACTCAACATGGGAGGAAATCCAGATCTTTCTAAGTCCAGGTGGGAAGGCTCGCCATCAAAGTCAGTAGAGGAATCCACTCCAGGAACAATCCAGGAGAAGAGAAGAAAAAGCAAAAAAACAAAAACAACACAACAAAAAAAAACCTGATCTGTCAACAGACAAGACCAGCAGAAACATAGAATTATTATTAAACCATTCTAGCTTATTATGTTTCATAACTGTTCGAAAAATCCTTTTCCAAGAACAATAATAAAACATTACATTTTACACAAACTTAGCAAAGGTTCACGTTTTAATAACTAAGTAGGTCAAATAAAGATCATTATTTGACAACAAGATAAAAGAACAAAAACCAAATGAAAGGTACAAAATATGCTCACCGATCTCAGTGCAGCACGTTCAAAACAACTAGACAGGGACTCTCATTCCAGACACGGAGGGCACTAGACAGTGTAAAATGCATATTTTTTAAGTTTTAACTTAAAGAAAATGAATTAAGTAAAAAAAAATACATTATTATATAGGCTTTACCTTCAGTTGAACTGAAAACAACTGCCAATCAACTGCCAGAAAGTGCAACAGTTCCAACTGATCTTAGTGGTTCTAACAGCAGAAAAACTGAAGTTCAGTTTTCTGAAACTTACCACTCTTTCTAACTTATAAGTTGGATTTAAATGTAGCCGGGGCATTATGTCCATTATGCACTCTTCCGGTTGCCCATATAAGGAAGACGCTGTTTTAGCGCAGCTGATTCATTACGGAGGCAAGCAATCGGTATTTACATTTAAAAGCGGGTAGATCGCTGAGAGGGTGAGAGTCCAGGCTGATTTCTCTGCAGGTATGGTTAACATGAAGTGTGCGCTGGGTTGAGAATTATTTCTGATGGCTCCATTTTATTGCAGGAAACCTCCTCTTGGAGAGGATATACAGAGCTCTGCTAGCTTTTAGCGAAGGTAAAGGCAGTTCATTATTATGTGGTTATTTAAAATATCTGTTTAATTTTATTCTCTGTTGTGTGCAGGTTGGCCTGCTACTGTTTCAGTTTTAGTTTGTTTTGGTTATTTATGGATCAAACTTTTTATTCTTTTGGGAATTTTTATTGTTCAGCCCTCCAGGCTCGCTTGTAGATAACCTGTGCTGTCCCTGGTTCCAAGCTGTTTTGTCTAGATTGAGGAGACTAGTGGGAGGGGAGTTTCTTGTTTTGTGTTATTCACCAGGAGTTTTTCTTTTGTTGTGCGAGTGTGTTTTTGTTTGGGAACACCTAGGTGTATTCAGTTACATTTGTTTTTTTAAATTATTATTTCTCCCCCAAGCAGTCTGATTTTATCTAATCAAAGTAACTGGTCATCAGCGGTAAGGTTTCCAGGGCCAGCATAGATTTAGGATTTTAAAGTGGTTGATATTGTACAATAAAAATGAATTGACTATTTATGCCTAGCATTATTGTGATTAACTAAACTGTGGTTAATTTGCATCAGTGCCTCTGATCATTTTCTTTACAAACTTATGTGTGATCTGGTAAAAAGACAACACCAGAGGATTTAAGGTTCTTCACACATAACTAAGGTGGTAACCGAGGTCACATAAACAATAACTATTTACAAAAAAAATTCCTTCAAAGTCAATAAATGATATTAGAAAGAAACCAAAAGACTCTCACTCTGGCTCAGCTGTCTGATCAGGGTCGGATCTCCCGCTCACAATCAATGCTGCCAACACGGGAAAGAAGGTGGAGCCTCTGTGGCATTCCGCTCTCTGATTGGTCTAAACATTCATGGGAATCAAACTTCCCATTGGCCAGGCAGACCACCCCGCCTACCCAATCTCTATTTCCCAAAAGGCTATCCCCACTTTATGTGGGTTACATCAATTGTTCAAGAACACGCTGCAAGCGCTGTTCATGTTCTTCCAGGGAGGCTGAGAAAATAATCAAGTCATCAATGAACACTAAAACTTCTTTTAGGTTCATATCGCCAACACATTTTTCCATCAGTCTTTGGAAGGTTGAAGGCGCATTTGTTATTCCTTGTGGCATCCTGTTGAATTCCCAGAATCCAACTGGACACACAAATGCAGTCTTATGCTTGTCTGCTTCTTGCATTTCGACCTGATAGTAGCCTGACTTGAGGTCTAGAACGGAGAACCGCTTAGAACCAGCAAGTGCAGTGAAAGCATCTTCCAGTTTTGGAAGAGCGTAGGCATCTTTGATGGTCTGCATATTCAGCTTTCTGTAATCTACACACAGACGAACAGAACCATTCTTTTTGCGAACCACAACAATTGGAGAAGCAAATGGAGACTCAGATTCCCGTATGACTCCAGAATCTAGGAGTTCCTGTATATGTTGTCTCACAGCATTTACGTCGTTGGGGTGTATCGGACGTGCTCTCTGCTTAAAAGGCGTCTCATCACTGAGCTTGATTCTGTGTTTCACTTTATCAGTATGGCCAAAATCCAGGTCATTCTGAGAGAAAACGTTTGCCATGGTGTTTAACATTTTTGTTATTCGCTCTTTCCATTCAGTGGATAAAAGTGAATCTCCAAAATCAAAGTTCAGTGGTGGGGAAGACTTTGCTTGAAATTTAGGATAGTCTGATTCGTTGACAGTATGTTCTTTGTGCAACACCTGTACTATAGCATTAACATCTGCCACAATGGTTTTGGGGGGAATGACTATGTCATGATTGGTGTCATTTCTCAGTACGACAGGAATATGACATGAGTGTTTGCTTGGTAAAGTTACTGCAATCGCTGAAACGAGTAAACCATTCGGTAGAGAAGAAGCTGATGGTTGCTCAAGAATAACATCTCTCTGAATGTTCAAACGATTAAATGGAACAAAAGCTTCAACAACAGCGGTCTGCCTTGCAGGAACAACTTTAGGCAGCTTGCCTGTTAGTTCTGCACAACCAAGGCTGCTGTGGATAAGCTCCCTTTGTCGTATCTCAAGTATTTTGAGAACAGCCTGATAGCCATTCATCAAAGGCTGAAAAGATGAAAGTTTCTGGTAATCCGCATAAAGAACGTCAAGTGCGTTTGTGCCTATAAGCACCTGTTCATGGGCTGCAGAGCGGAGGTGAGGAATAACCAAAGCCAGAGTGTTAATCTCAATATCAGAGCCAACAAACTCTTTAGGAAAAGTGATGGTAAGCTCAACATATCCTAAAGGGAACAAACTGGCCATTAGCACTCTCCACTTCAAGCAAATCATTTAAAGAATGAATGGTCAGATCAGAAAGGTGTTCTTCATAAAAGGACTGGGGCACAGTTGTGACTTGCGAACCTGTGTCCAACAGACAGTTTGTGTCTTTCCCTGCAATAGGCACTTGAGCTGTAGTTTTAGTTCCCACCAGGCCATGTGGCAATTTCGACCTTTCTACCCCAACACTCTTAACAACAGCTTTCATGGTTTTGGGACTGGAATTTTGTAACTCTGCTCCATGTGTCCCTCTATGGGAGCAGACACTAGTTTAAATGTGTCTCACTTTGAGAAGCATTAGAGGCTTCCCAAGCAGCCTGCTTTTCTTTCAGCTGTTTTTTCTTAGCTGCTACAAGGGAAGGATTTGGTGCATTTTCACAGACTGAAACAACATGGCCATCCTCTCCACACTGGAAACAGTACCAGGGACATGGTCTGCCATTTGCTTTAATTGTGGAAGGATGCTGACGGCTTGTTTTTGGTTTCACCACATGGACTTCATGTGTGACACTTAGAGGAACAGACTTTCGTTGCTTAAGTTGTTTTGACTTTTGACCCTCTGACCAATGCTCTTCACCTGAAGGCTGAGGTCAGCAATTTGTTGCTTGAGCATCTCAAGATCAGTCTTATTTATCAAATCATTTTTGTCATATGCAAGATGAACTTGTGACATGGCACGCTGCTTGCTGGGGATGTGGCCAGACTTGGCATAGTTGAAATGCTGTTGCATTCGAGTCATTTTTGCAGCCTGTTTATCTTCTTTTGTCCTAAGAAGAAGCAACAATTCTGCAAAAGTAGGAGGTTTATCTTTCTTTTGTTCTAACTGAAGATCGGCTATTAAAGCGTTCTCCCAACAGCCTCTACAGAACTGCTTTAAAAGCTGTTGATCAAACTCTGGAGCGGATACACCACCACGTCTCATTGTTTTGCTTAAGGCTGTGTGCAGTCTCTGCAGGAAAACAGAAGGTAACTCTCCGTCATTCTGGAACGTGCTCATGAACCTAGCATAAAGCTGGTCACCATCTTCAACCGTCCCGTAGGCGGAGTCAAGCAACTTGAGATAAGTTGAGGGACTAGATTGTGGGCTCAAATGTTTAATCATTTCAGAAGCAGGAGGAAGAAGAATGTCTAATATACGATGTGTGCAATGCAAGTCTGACACAGATGGATCTCTGATAAGAATTTCAACACTTGCACGCCATGTATCATAATCTGCTTCATGGCTTGGACGTGGACTCTTGCCTGAAAAAGCTCTGAGTCTACTGGGTGAAGCAAACTGGGATGAGGTATCACTGCTGCGCACCACATGCTCAACCACCACTCGCTGAACTGCATGTGGATTAACATCGATTACTGGCGTAGTAGTGGATTCAGATGAGAATGACAAAGTCTGGGGGGTTGAGATCAATCAGGTTTTTACTGAAAATGGAAGGGTTGAGAGGCTTACTTGGATTACTTGCTGGTGTCAAAATCGGGGAATCTGTAGCCGTCACTGACTGAGGGTTTTCAGAAGATGGGATATTTCTTTTGCTGGTTGAGTCTTTTTGTGGGATAGGACTCCGTGGAGCTGAGGATTCTGGATCAGTCTGAGGTGATCGGGCACAGGAACTTTCGACAGATGAAACTAGACTTTTAAGTTCCTCCTTCAACATTTCTCCTAGTGAATTTCCACTCAACATGGCAATTTCAGAGAGTTGTTCCATGTACATTTTAGTAGCTTTGCTTCTGGCTTCTACGGTGTAGACACTTCCTAAAGCTTTTAACTCATACACAATCCCTGCTTGAGTCATGCTTGGAACACACAAATGCAGTCTTATGCTTGTCTGCTTCTTGCATTTCGACCTGATAGTAGCCTGTGGCAACAGTGGTTCCAATGTCTTCATGGCAGTTTCATGTGCAAACTCAATAATCATGTTTTTATGGAAACCTGATTTAGGATCATCTAAGTGAATGTAACGGTTAATGGAACCATACTTCTGGAGAAATATTGATACTTCCTCATCTATTTCTGACCCTGTCAAGCCACTAACAACCAAAGAATGGGGAATTTGGATGGACTCCCGGAGTACCACATCCATTTTTTTTTTTTTGAGAAGTACATAGCAAGTTCTAGCAATACATGAAAGATGTCTGACACTTAAACACACACACTCGTGCTCCTGGCTGGCTCACCAAAGCTTCTCCTGTAACACAGTTGAGAAGGGTACAATATGTTTTAGGTAGATGGGCCAATAGGTTCGGCTGTCGGAGCACGATGGGTGTTTAAATAACACATACACAGTTGAGTGAAGTTTAAAAAAACAATTAGCTTTAGTAACGTGAATCATAAACTCACAAGTGGACAAGACATACAATTAAGAAAATAAAACTACACACAATAAATACATAAAATAAAAACAACAATACTTGGCCAAGTGTTAAATATCAAATTTAAATCTATTGGGTGCACCTGGTAGTTTGCACTCTAATCTCTTTTAGATGACAAATGAATCAAATTAAATCCTGGTTCAGGTCTCACTCAACATGGGAGGAAATCCAGATCTTTCTAAGTCCAGGTGGGAAGGCTCGCCATCAAAGTCAGTAGAGGAATCCACTCCAGGAACAATCCAGGAGAAGAGAAGAAAAAGCAAAAAAACCCCAAAAACAACACAACAACAAAAAAAACCTGACCGATCTCAGTGCGGCACGTTCAAAACAACTAGACA